TGCAATTATCAGGTACATGAATTGTTGTTGGAGATTTGAATCGTTTTATTTTTAACATGATACCATTTGTTGTGTTGTGGCAGGAGCATTGATTGTATCAACTCCTCAAGATGTTGCATTAATGGATGCTCGAAGAGGAGTCAAAATGTTCTCCAAAGTCTCGGTTCCTGTATGATAATCTCCAAAGCTTTTATGCCCTTTGTTAGTTAAGTTTACATTTTAATGGATAGTTGATTTGCAGATATTGGGGCTCATAGAGAACATGAGTTATTTCAAATGTCCACATTGTAGCAAACCATCTTACATTTTTGGAAAAGGGGGGGCCCGCAAAACAGCTGATGAAATGGGACTAGGATTTGTTGGCGAGGTATGTCACTGTCACTGTCATTGTCATTATTGATACTGATACTGATATACTGATGGGTAATGGTTGTAGATACCGTTGGAGGAGGAGATCAGAAGCGGGTGTGATGAAGGTGTCCCTGTGGTTGTATCTCGTCCAGAATCTGCTGTTTCAGTAGCATATGGTGATGTAGCTTTGAAAATTATCAGCAGACTTCATGAATTAGCAGCTGATCAACAGTTTAAACCTCAAATAAATCTATAAAATCACCATTTTTATGTCTTTAGTTGTTATATGTTTTGGTCAAGTTATGTTGAATGAGAGAGGTCAAGACATACAACTAGTTGTAGGTTTGTAGCATATAAACTGAGGGAGTTCCTTACAGGGTTAAATGCTATTTCAGTCATGAAATAGCTACATATTCTCATTTATTGTTTTTATTATATAATAATTTGTTTTTTTTTTTTTTTAATTATGACACTGTAATTTCACTTTTTTTTTTCCAACATGAGTTCCAGTCTACAACCTCCTGATATATCATTTATTCAAACAGTTGAGACTTTTGGTTAATTGTTTATAGATGAAAAGATGTCACTTTTCAACATGCATTTGAGAATGACAGGTTTTATAACTTTAGGCCTAGTTTGTGAGTTATAGCAAAGAGAGAAGAAAAATTGAAAGAAAATTAGGGTACTCGAGTTTGAAAGAAATAAATGGAAAATAAACATTCATATCTTGATTTTTTGGTTGTCTAAGATCAATATAATCATATTTGAACAATTAAATGTAGAGTTCCTTAAGAGAAAAATAAATACAGTTATTAGTTAGTTTACTGTCCTTAGTAACCACTTTGAAATTCAATGTCCAACACCCAAATCAACCATGCTACAAAACTATTACAAATTCCGACGTTGTAGGACCAAAATAATAAAACTGACTGATTTAGCGCTTCAAGCAAAAAAACAGTTATTGTAATTATTAAGTTGTGGCTAAATATATTCACCATTATGTCTGGTTTAACCATTATAATTCAGTTTTGTCAATAAAAAGTAATAAAGTTTTGATCCGTTGCTAATGACAAATCAAAGTGGTTACAATAAATTTCTATAGCAACCCCTTTAACATGCATGCTACAACAGAACATAGAAAAAAAATTGTCAAACATATGCAAAACTAAAATATAATGAAAAATGGGCAAATTCATATATTTTTTTGCCCTTGATATTGTAACTTGTTTAGGTGAGGTCCCTGCAACAAAAAATAAAATAACACCTTGATTGGATAAGGTTTCAAAATATCATTCCAAATGAACCCCGAAATTTCATGTTGTCAGCACTAACAAATCAAACAAAGAAAAAAACAATCTACCTATTTCTAAACAAGAATATCCATCCTGTTACAACATGTTCCCATTCATTCATAACAGAAACCAATCTCACACAAGGAAGGACGTTTCAATACCCATAATTCCCTCCATACACGGGCCCACCATACTCGGCAGCAGGAGGTGCATGGCCAGTGGGGGGTGGCTGAGAAGCGTAAGCCGGAGGAGGAGCATGACCAGGGTACGGATTATATGCTTGGGCAGGTGGTGGAGCACTTGCAGAATTCTGAGCAGCAGTTGCAGCTTCCGCCACAAAATTCTAAATTCCAACCACCAAACAAAAAATATCAGTAACAGATGGAAAATTTTTAAAGTATTTATTTATTTACCTGAATCAATTGCTGAGCTGTCTGAACCTGTGAAGCAGATCCGTTAATCTCAACAGTCATTTCATCAGGAACTCCACGTGTTTCTTGAATTGCAATTGTTGCACCACTTGCTCGTCTGATATAACTAATATTTGTGCCAGATGTACCAATTACAGCATCAGCATATGAAAGTGGGATCTGCATGTTATGCGACACCTACATATAAATTCAATCTTCAATATTCAGACATGTGTTTTTCTTTTCAACTTTATAATTTATTATTATTATTATTATTATTATTATTATTATAATACCTTTGTGACTATGGATTGTTGTTGTGCCTGTGGTTGAGGAGTTGAAGTGTGACTGTGAGGTGGTCCCATGGATGGATCCCTGCCAAAGCTAGGTGGTGGGCCCTGCTGACGAGGCTGTACTTTATCCATTGGTTGAGGCGGGTAAAAGTTGTCAAACTGGTGCTGCTGAGGTGGCATAAACTGATTGGGCCCAAAACCACCCGCATTCATTGGGAAACCACCTTGAGGAGACGGGCCTGGGCCCCCACGGTTGGGGAGGTGGCATCTCTTGATTTTGACGAGGATTTGGCATTTGCATCTATCAAAAACTCAAAACTCAAAATAAAATTAAAGGAATGGAATGGAATGGCTGATTCCGTTGTAATCACAAGGGAACTAACTTACTTGCATCTCGAATATCCCAATAACACTGCGATCAACTAAGAACTTTCTCAGATGAGTAGCAACCAGCTCCACAGCCTTGTGTACACCTGTCGCCTCCCCTTGTATCTCAACAACACTATCATCAGGTAAAGCAAAAATCGGTAGGTTTTCTGCATGTTTCCAAACATACATCAAAATTTATCATTTGGGAAAAGAAAAGAAATGATTATAAATATAATCAATCAATCACCTCCTATGACACGGATTTTACAATTTGAAGAATCTTGAATGGTTTTAATGGTGGCACCCTGTTTCCCTATCAGGCTTCCACCTTGTGTCCCTGCAACAAGAAGCCTTGTAGAGATGGTGGCAGGCTGGACACGTGCAGGATCACTGTCAGCATCCATCACACGTTGATGAACCTTCAACAAACCATCAATGGCAGGTGGAATCAAAGCATCTGGTTCCTCTTTTGCAGAAATCAACACCTAAACAATCACACACCAATTGTTTAATCAAGAAACCACTTTATTAAACTTTCCAACAATATTTGTATAATGATTGGATTACTACAAATACAAAGAAGCAATGAAAAGGATGGGAGAAAGAAAAAAGTTAGTTACTTTCAGCCCTAGCCACCACTTTGCAACTACACCTAATAATGAAATTTTGATTTATCTTGTAAATTCTTGGGTGCTGCATATTCTGCAACCATTAATGATATACCTTACTAACTTTTTAGTGTGTTATTACCTTTTAAGATGTTCTTGATTGTTATCTTATGTGGACAATATTTTGCATTTTTTATTTCGGTTTAGTTTTTAATTGATTTTATGTATATAATATATCCTAGTCTTTATAGGTTTTGTTTACTTGTTTGACTAGCACAACAAGTGGCAAGACATCAATCCATCCAGTTCCAAAGTTACCTGCCAGCCAATCAAATCAGAGTAACTTTTGATTTTGATGCTCAATGTTGAACTGCAATCTGGATCTTTGGTTGTCTTCTAATTGGAATTGAAATGTTTCCTTATATTTGAGAGAATAACCTGCACACATTCATCTAAGTTATTGGGATAACATAAACTTATTTAGATTTAACCTCTCATTCTTCACTCTTCATATTCTTAATTCTTGTTTGTAAATTGTAATTTCACTCTCTTCTCATGTTTTCTCTTGGTTGTTAACTTTTATTTTACATCTTATCTTAACATTCCAGTTTCTTTGATAATTATATATCATCTTGCATTTATTTATGATACATTCTTTTAAGTTTTAACAAACCCCTTCCCTTTTTTGGTTCTCAAGTATTTGACATTGTGTGTTGGTTTACTTTTACTTTTATTTGTTCCTAATAGGTCCATATCAGATGCATTAAAACAACAACCAATATCACACTTCAAATCAACTCTATCTAGTCAAATTCCAGAACCAGAGAAATATATCACACATACACTATAAGAGATTGTTTCAAGAAGAATGTGGGCATCTAAAATATTAAACACATCTATGCAACTCCATTACCTTAAATTCTACATGATAGTTGAATTTATATTTTGAGAGAAACAAAATGAAACAATTTTCTTAAAAAAAACTTACAGTTCTTTCAGTAGTACCAGGAGGCCCATCAAGAATTTTAATGCGGGCCCTTGTTTCTTCACAGGTTTTCTTTATGTACTCTCCCTTGCGACCAATGATGCCACCAACTTTTTGCACAGGAACCAACAGCCTGAAAACATTCTCTCCAGGCCACCCTGGCCATTTCTTTTCCACAGCACCTTCTGCAACAGTGCCCACTACAGCAGCACCTGCCACGTCAGCATCCTCCACATCAGCACCACCTTGTTCTTCCTCATTATCTTCATTATCTTGAGTTTCTACAGCATCATCCTGCTCATTCTCAGGATCTTGAATTTCAACTGGAACAGAGTTCTCAGGCATTGCCTCTGTCTCATGTTCACTGATGTTATCCTCTGCCATTTTCTAAAAGACTGAAATGGTTAAATCAAGTAAGCTCATCTCATATATCCAAACCCAAAAATAACACCATAAACCTTCACAAAAATATATAAACATCAGAGAAATAAGGACCCAAACCCTAATTTAAAGAAGTAAAATCACACAATCCATATGAGCACCCACTAAGAACTTAAGAACAAGCCATAGACAGTTAGCAGAACAAAAAAAAAGTTATTATTCTAAGGTTGTAGGAAAAACTTCAAAAGAAATAACATACGCAGCTACAATTTGGCATTGGCAAATGTAAGAATTGTTGTGTATTCTAAACTTATTTATTATAGATTTTATAGCTAAAAAAGTTAATTAAAAGGTGGTACATTTTAAAATTAGGTGGCTGTAAATTAGCAACCGAATGCATATCCTACAGCACCTTCCGCAACTAGAAACGTATACTGACTAAAATCCCTAAATTGAAATGCTTGAAACGAGGGATTTGTCGATGAAACCTCTTCAATACAACTGCATGCATCCGTACAAAACCCTAGACAGAAAATTAACCCAACCTATCAAATTTCAACAGCCGACAAATGGCTACGTGTTTTAATCTAAAGAATCAAATCAATTCACCAAAAGATTCCACGGGAAGATGAGAAAAACTAGGCAACTACGCAATTACATAAATTTTCGTCAAGAACCCCATACAGATCCATATACAAATCAACAAGCGTACGCAAAATCGGAGTAGTAAGATAACAAACTTACCAGGGTTTAGAGTGAAGTCGATTGTCGATGATTTCGTAATTGAATGAGCGGTATAGAGACGGCTTGGCTGCACGTTGTGGAGAATCGAATGGCTTTTATCGTAGTTTATGGAGGAGAGAATAGGGATTCATGTTTGGATAATTTCTCTTTGGACCCTGCAGATTTGGTTTTATCAACTTTGACCCCACAAACTTTTGACTTGCCACGAATCATTCACCACCATTTCACCGGTAACCACTAACCAACTAATCATCTCTAAATTATTAAATGAGAACTTTTAATTCATAAATGAAGCAATCAGGGCATTTGATTGTATTTTAATCATATGTTTTCCACCCTTCGATCAAATCGCTAACAGCATCCTCATTAAACTTTTGATTAAACATAATTACAACTAATTATGAAAATTTTAAATTCAGCAAACAAATCATTCCATTTAACTCCGAGATATTAGTTTCTCCATAAATCTAACCAAAAACATTAATCGCCCCATCTTTCTCCTCTGTCTTTCTCTTTTAAACCCTAATTTCATAATCCTCTTCGTCCTCCATGTCATGGTTGTGCTACGAGGAAAATTCTATAATCCTAAATCCACTCCCAAAAACTCTCTATGTACTCGTCCATCAACCATACTTTTGAAGAAACTCCCTCTTAGATTCCTTCCACCGTTCTTTGTTCTCTCTATTTTCCACCACCGGTATATGAGCCACCGCCTCACAATGAGTCTCCCACTTTATCTCTGCAGAAATGGGTTCTCTAAAAACCCTTAAAAACCAACTGTATTTTCTTGAATACGATCGGTGATTCATGGCCCTTCCACTACTTGCTGCATAATTCTTTTCCATCGCTACTCTTTCCTGTTATCAATAAGTCATAGAATCCAATCTAATTTATTGGTCCCCATTTCTTCGATAAGTTATTACTCGACCTCACCCTCGAACCTGGATCTTCACCTTATCGCACCACCGTCTCCCAACACAGATTTGCCTTACTAGTGACCTTACTAAGGTTATGGGAGTGATATACTAGTGACCTTACAAGCATTCATACTAGGATCAGTGTCATACTAGAACATAACAAAAGTATTCATACTAGGATCAGTGTCATACTAGAGACCTTACAAGCATTCATACTATGATCAGTGTCATACTAGAACAGAACAAAAGTATTGTGATTGTTGGACAACACAATTAGGCTTGGGGACATATAATCAGATATGGGAGTGATATAGCCTGATCAACTATATCTTTCCGAGAAGTGATTAACATGTGCCTAGGGATGGTTGTGGTGTTGCAACAAGTCTAAAAACTTACCAACACTACTACAATGAAAACTTTAGAACATAACATAAACTAAAACTTAAAAATACTATAGGAGTATTTTGTGTACTATAATTACTTATGTGCAAACTAAAAGGTCTTTACTAGTATGTCGATAGTTGATGAGTGGATACGCTAAGGTTATATGTGACTAAGGTGGCATAGACATAGAATCTGTGATCTTTGCTTTACTTCCTGTTCCTTGTTTGGTTGTGGACTTAGAGTTAGGGTCGCTTATTCAAAGGTCTATTCTATCTTGGTTACATGTGACTGATATACACTACGCAAATATTGGAGTAACTGGTAAGGATCATCCTATAATTATCTTAAGTAGTATGTCTATTAACTATTTCTTTTACCCCTATTCTCGCGTAGATAACATGGCTGGATTCCATCTCCCCAACGACCCGTACTTCCCCAACCAAGGAAATGGTGGATGACTCGATACAGAGCCAGAAGAGAATCATGCAATTCCTTTAGATGATGACTTCGCAAAAAACTTCCCAGAGGATTCTGACTCAGAGCCAGAAGTCAATAATCTACCCCTAGTGGCCCCAATCCCAAATCCTAACCCTCGTCCGGCTTTTCAAGGCATGAAGCCTTTGTGGGCGGAGAACTTGAGCAGATGGAGTCAAGAACAGGGTCAACCCTTACCCTACAACGGAGACCGAAGCTTCTACAATCTGAGTGAGGAAGGCTCGGCAGACAGAATCCTGCCTATTCTGGTTCATATGGTTGCTCGAAATGACGAGCAGGGTAGGGCAACCATCAACCGAGTTATGGAAGTTGATGCCGATGCGGGAGTCAATACAGTCCACATTCGTCATCTACAAGCTTCTCATGGAAGAACTCTGGGCCACAATGAGGCCCTGCAGAGAGAACTTACCGCAACCCAAGCTGAAGTCAGGGAACTTCGAGCACGTCAGGCAACGTTCGAAAGGCGCATGCTGGAAATGGAGTGTCATCAGGCAGAATCGAAGGCTCATCCGAGCGGTTACCGTAGCAAGTAGCGTCTACTTTACTCTGTCTTTTGGATATAGCTTAGGTCTATGTACAGACTCTAGTATAAATTTCATGTTTATCTTAAGACCTTGAACTTTCAGTCTACTAGGTCTTTATGCTGTCAAATTTTCTTATTATAGTTTGATGTAAGACCTACTCCTAGGTCATTTTTCCCGAACTTGTTACATCTTTAATGCCAATATTATTGACAGACACCTAATCTTTTGGGGAAATCTTTATCCAAATGCTTTCATACTTCTATTTTTAGATCTCTAATTACAATCATACTCTCATCTGTTTTGTTGGGCTATGGTGATTTAGTCCATGGACCACTCTCATATTACTCACAATTGATTCTTACTATTATCTTCATCTTTGTAAACTTATAGCCACAAGATGCCTCCTCGTAGATCAAAAAGGCGCACTACTCCGATAACTCCAAATCAAACTCCACTACCTCCTCCACAATACAATCCAGTAGCTATCCAAGCTGCAGTGAATGCGGTTGTTACGGCAGCCCTAGCTCAATTCAGTGCTAGTGGTACTAGCGGGAGTGGAAACGGTGCATTCCACTCAAGGTGATGCTCATGTGCGCTCTAGAGAGTGCTCTTATAAGGACTTCACCAACTGCAAGACCAGGTGTAACGTCCATAAATTTCACGCTAAATTCAAACTTTTTAAATCACAAATAAAAGTCAAATAGTATTGTTTACAAAATGTTTTCAAATCAATATCCATCAGAGTGTCCCAAAATCATAACATAAGGATGAGGAGTGGTACGGTCACGCCTTCGCCTTGCCACGATCTCCTGAAGTACCTGAAACAATAAACTGAAAACTGTAAGCCCGAGGGCCTAGTGAGCTACCCCCAACATACCAATACCACACTGACAATACCATATCAGTAACAATCACTCAATCAATCATGCATACTGGGCCATCGGCCTGACTGGTCCGCCCTACCGGGCCTACAGTCTATCTGAATCTATTCATGCATACTGGGCCATCGGCCTGACTGGACCGCCCTACCGGGCCTACAGTCTATCTGAATCTATCCCGAGCCTTCGGCATGACTGGTCTGCCTCATGGGCCTGCAGTCTCCCCGGACCGCTCATAGGGTATGTTGGCCTTCAGCACAAAGCAGGACCGCCTCAACCCAACCAATAAGCAAATAACCAAGTTCGCATAACTATCATATACTGGCATATACAAACATCAAACATATCTGTCATACTGATCATCAACCATAGAATCCTCTCGTAACTAGAGTACCGACCTAGCAGGTCACTAACATACCAATCCTTACGGATCATAAAGCGTAACATACTGTCTACCCTGATTCCGATCTAGCAGACCAAACCATATGTAGCATACCATAACAATAACAACTAAAGAGTCGGCCTTGGTGCCGTAGACCCTATCGATATAGTGAGGATAACTCACCTCGCCGATGCCGACTCGAAAGGTAAACTCCAATTCTCGGATCACTGGACACAGGCTTCACCACCTATCACCATAGTACAATATACTCATAAGTCCTTAAATCTATAAGGTACTCCATAACCCAACAGTCAACCCCTGGTCAAAGTCAAAGTCCTCAGTCAAGGTCAACAGTCCATGTTGACCCCCAACTCGCTGAGTACCCTTGGCTACTCGCCGAGATCCTCGAAGCACATTCCACTCGCCGATTCATCGGGGTGACTCGTCGAGTTCCTTCGATTCCCGTTCAAACTCTAAGGCCACCCGTCGAGTTTCCTCCTTCCCACTCGACGGGCACACACGCATACATATCCTATGGAAAACTCATTCGACTCGCTGAGTTGTTCTTCAACTCGTCGAGTCTTATGGTGATCTTCATCGGACTCGTCGAGTTGTTCATCCAACTCGTCTAGTTCACGGCCATCTTCATGTGACTCGCCGAGTCAACCTTGCGACTCGCCGAGTCCATTCAGTCCTTTTTCCATACAGACTTGTTTTGAGCCATGCAGTGGCTCCAAATCACAGATCCAAGCTTCTTGGGCATGCTTTTCACGTAAAGTTGCAAACTTTACGTGCATGCATGACTAATAAGGCTCTTAATGCCAAAACTAAGTTCTTAATGGGGCTTTATGCACAAGGAGGGCCTCATTCTCGACCAAAATCAGAGCTTTATGACTCTAGAACCGAAGAAGGTTACAGATCTGAAGTTACAACTTCAGATCTAGCTCATATCCCACATTACCATCTCAACCAAACCATAAAAACCCTATATCTCAACCAAAAGAGGTCTAGAAAGGAAAAGGAGAAAAGGTGACGACTTGATACCTCCAAATGATGCTATTTGAGGTAGATTTCTGATTTCCCACACTTCCTTGATCCTAGCCTTTTGTTTCCCCAAGCTTCTCTCCTCAAAAGATCTCCTCTCCAAAGCTTTACACACACAAGAATGAACACCACACGAATTAGGGTTTTTCTGAGCTCTCAAGGACTGCAAAGAGGCCAAAGGAGGCTTATGCTTCCTTAAATAGGGTGCAAAACCCCGGGATTTAGGGTTTCATCTGCCAGCTCCTACTCGCCGAGTCCCAATATGGACTCGTCGAGTAGGTCACTTAACACGCGATCCCACCCCGCTGCTACTCGACGAGTAGGTCAACCAACTCGTCGAGTAGAGCTTCACCCAATAAATCTTATTTAAACAATACCTGAGAATCGGGGCGTTACAACTCTCCCCCACTTGAACTAGACTTCGCCCTCGAAGTCCGTCGGGATAAACAATGTCGGGTAATGCTCGCGCATCTCCGCTTCCGGCTCCCATGTCCACTCGGATCCCCTCCGATGTTCCCACTGTACCTTTACCAAAGGTATTTCCTTGTTCCGCAGAATCTTCTTCTTCCTTTCCAAAATAGCCACCGGCCTCTCCACATAGTTCAGGCGTTCATCGACCTGAATGTCATCCAACGATACCACTGCCTCCTGGTCCATAATGCACTTTCGCAATTGCGAAACATGAAATGTGCTGTGGATCCGGCTAAGCTCCTCCGGAAGCTCTAGCCTATAAGCCACCCTGCCAACCCTGGCAACAATCCTGAACGGCCTGATGTAGAGGGGACCCAATTTTCCCCTCTTCCTGAAGCGGATCACTCCCTTCCAGGGTGAAACCTTCAGGAGAACCATGTCACCCACCTGAAACTCCAGCTCAGATCGGCGTCGGTCGGCATAACTTTTCTGCCGACTCTGAGCGGTCTGCAGTCGCTGTCTAATCTGCTGTATCATCTCGGTAGTTTGCAGAACTACCTCTGTCCGAACCATCACTCTGTGCCCAACCTCGCCCCAGCAGACTGGGGTCCTACACTTCCGCCCATACAACAGCTCGAAAGGCGGGGCGCCAATACTGGAATGATAGCTGTTGTTGTAGGCGAACTCTACAAGCGATAGGTGGGAATCCCAACTGCCACCGAAATCAATGACGCACGCCCTCAACATCCTCGAGGGTCTGTATTGTCCGCTCACTCTACCCATCAGTCTGCGGATGGAACGCTGTACTAA